GGCTCATGTAATGCATCAGAAACTCAATGACCGGCGGCAGCGGGTGGCTCACGTCTGTAATCCTAGCTCTCTGGGAGGACGAGGCGGGCGGATTGCTCGAGGTCGGGAGTTCAAACCAGCCTGAGCAAGAGCGAGACCCGTCTCTACTATAAATAGAAAGAAACTAATTGGCCAACAATATATATATAGAAAAAATTAGCCGGGCATGGGTGCGCAGCGCCTGAGTCCCAGCTACTCGGGAGGCTGAGGCAGAAGGAGTCACTCAAGCCCAGGAGTTTTGAGGTGCTGGTGAGCTAGGCTGACGCCACGGCACTCACTCTAGCCTAGGCAACAGAGTGAGACTCTGTCTCAAAAAAAAAAAAAAAAAAAAATCAAATGGCCAGGCTCTCTGGTCCTCCCATTGGACAGACAGCTGCATCTTCTCACGCAGTGCAGCACTGCTCGGCGACACCATGGTGAAAGTGGAAGCCGAAATAAATGACATGGCCGCATTGGGCACCTGGTCACCTGGGCTGCTATTAACTGACAACGGGAGTATTGTCACCATCAACTACCCGACAGACAGCTGCATCTTCTCACGCAGTGCCAGCACTGTCTCGGCGACACCATGGTGAAAGTGAAGGCCGAAATAAATGACATTGGCCGCATTGGGCACCTGGTCACCTGGGCTGCTGTTAACTCTGACAACGTGGATATTGTCACCATCAACTACCCCTTCATTGACCTCAATCTACATGGTCTACATCAGGGGTTCTCAAACTTTTTAAACAGGGGGCCAGTTCACTGTCCCTCAGACCGTTGGAGAGTGCGGAGCACATTCCACACATGCGCACTGTGGGCCCGGGATGAGTTGGCTGCTAAGCAGGACAGGCAGTGGCAGCAAAAACACTCAGTGGGCCGCATGTTGCCCTCGGGACGTAGTTTGAGGACGCCTGGTCTACATGTTCCAATACGACTCCACCCACGGCAAGTTCAATGGCACTGTCAAGGTGGAGAACGGGAAGCTTGTCATCAATGGCCAGCCCATAACCATCTTCCAGGAGCGAGATCCCACCAAAATCAAATGGGGTGAAGTGGGCACTGATTACATTGTGGAGTCCGCTGGTGTCTTCACTATCCTGGAGAAGGCCAGGGCTCACCCAGATGGGGGTGCCAAAAGGGTCATCATCTCTTCCCCCTCTGCTGACGCCCCCATGTTTGTGATGGGTGTGAACCACGACAAGTACCAAAACAACCTCACCATTGTCAGCAATGCCTCCTGCACCACCAACTGCTTACCCCCCTGGCCAAGGTATTCCATGACAACTTTGGCATCGTGGAGGGACTCATGACCACAGTCCATGCAGTCACTGCCACCCAGAAGACCATGGATGGCCCCTCTGGGAAGATGTGGCGTGATGGCCGTGGGGCTCTCCAGAACATCATCCCTGTGTCGACTGGCGTGGCCAAGGCCATAGGCAAGGTCATCCCTGAGCTGAACGGGAAGCTCACTGTTATGGCCTTCTGCGTCCCCACTGCCAACGTGTCCATGGTGGACCTGACCTGCCATTTGGAGAAGCCAGCCAAGTATGATGACATCAAGAAGGTGGTGAAGCAGGCGGCGGATGGCCCCCTCAAGGGCATCCTGGGCTACACTGAGCACCAGGTTGTCTCCTCTGACTTCAACAGCGACACCCACTCTTCCACCTTTGATGCTGGGGCTGGCATCACCCTCAACGACCACTTTGTAAAGCTCGTTGCCTGGTATGACAATTAATTTGGCTATAGCAACAGGGTGGTGGACCTCATGGCCCACATGGCCACCAAGGAGTAAGAGTCCTGGACCACCAGCCCCAGCCAGAGCATCGAGGAAGAGAGAGGCCTCAGCTGTTGGGGTGTCCCTGCCAACTCAGTTCACCTCACTGAGAATCTCCCCTCCTCATGACGAAGTTTCCATGACAGAGACCCTGAAGAATGGGAGGGGCCTAGGGAACCCCACCTTGTCATGTACCAATGTACAATAAAGTTCCCTGTACTAGGCCAAAAAAAACCAAAAAACAAAAAAATCAAATGACCAAACTGAATCCTTTACCTTCCTCCCCCACTTGCTCTTTCTTCTATAATCTCTAACTTGAGACATTTACATGCTCATAAATAGTGATTGAAAACAGACTCTGTACCATTGTCCTCTGAGCTGACCACATCAGATACTTTAGACTCATTCTTTTTTTTTTTTTTTTTTTTTGAGACAGAGTCTTGCTTGTTGCCCAGGCTAGAGTGAGTGCCATGGCGTCAGCCTAGCTCACAGCAACCTCAAACTCCTGGGCTCAAGCAATCCTGCTGCCTCAGCCTCCCAAGTAGCTGGGACTACAGGCATGCGCCACCATGCCCGGCTAATTTTTTTATATATATATATTAGTTGGCCAATTAATTTCTTTCTATTTATAGTAGAGACGGGGTCTTGCTCTTGCTCAGGCTGGTTTCGAACTCCTGACCTTGAGCAATCCGCCCGCCTCAGCCTCCCAAAGTGCTAGGATTACAGGCGTGAGCCACCGCGCCCGGCTTCATTCTTGACCCCTTCCCTTCACCCTTCACTTCCCACACCCCAACAGTCACCGAATCTTAAATCCATCTCATTTCCCCCACGCCCCCTTTCCAATTACCTAAATTTGAGCATTTATTTGTTTTATCCTGTACAGTAATAATTGACTCCTTGGAATTCATGCCCTACCTTCTTCAACAGTTACCTTTCCAGAACACAAATCTAATGATGCAGCAAGCCCCTTGCTAAAACTCTTCAATGGCTGCCAGTTCTCTACAGAATAAAGACCAAATGCTACATATGACTTAAAGACTTCTCACAATCTGGCTTTAGCCTGCCTTTTCTCACTCAACTTCTATTATTCCTCCAAAGACACAGGGCTCTAAACCTGCTATGTTACTGCAAATCTCAAACACAGTATTGGCTGGGTGAGGTGGCTCACGCCTGTAATCCTAGCACTCTGGGAGGCCAAGGCAGGAGGATCACCTGAGGTCAGGAGTTCGAGACCAGCCTGAAGAGTGAGACCCTATCTCTACTAAAAATAGAAACATTAGCTGGGCATGGTAGCTGGCATACAATTGTAGTCCCAGCTACTCGAGAGGCTGAGGCAAGAGGATCACTTGAGCCCAGGAGTTTGAGGTTGCTGTGAGTTATGGCTGATGCCACTGCACTCCAGCCCAGGTGACAGAGCAAGACTCCTTCAAAGAAAGAAAGAAAGAGAGAGAGAGAGAGAGAGAGAAAAACACAGCATGGTCTTTCATGAGCTAATAATATTAAGAAAAATTATCCAAAATTTAGAAATAAGATAACTTATTAAGTAATAAAAAGATTACTCCCTGCTCTTTCAGTACGCTACATGAGTATTATTAAATAAATGTGTCTATGTTGCCTAATATAGAGTGGTGCTATCCAATTGAGCCATAGATGCAATTTAAAATTTTCTAGTAGCCACATTAAAAAAGAAGTAAAAAGGCCAGGCTCAGTGGCTCATGCCTATAATCCTAGCACTCTGGGAGGGCAAGGGGGGCTGATCATTTGAGCTCAGGAGTTGGAGACCAACCTGAGCAAGAGCCAGACCCCGTCTCTACCCAAAATAGAAAGAAGTTAATTGGACAGCTAAAAATATATAGAAAAAAAAAATTAGCTGGGCATGGTGGTGCATGCCTGTAGTCCCAGCTACTCGGGAGGCTGAAGCAGAAGGATTGCTTGAGCCCAGCAGTTTGAGGTTGCTGTGAGCTAGGCTGATGCCATGGCACTCTAGTCCAGGCAACAAAGTGAGACTCTGTCTCAAAGAAAAAAAAGAAGTAAAAAGAAACTGGAGAGATTGATGTTAATAATGCATATTATTTTACCTAATAAATCCAAAATATTATTCTTTCAATATGTAAAAAAAATTAATGAGATATTTTAGATTCTCTTTTTTATCCTAAGCCTTTGAAATACAGTATGTATAATATTTTGCACTTACCACCTATCTTTGCATGCTACATTTTCATGGGAAGTGCTTCATCTGTATTTAGATTTCATAAAATTTACAGTTGGAAGAAAGGTAGATTCACATACCCAAGCTGTTTTAACATACCTAAAAGTTTTCCAGTAACTGAATTGAGTAGCAAAAATCATTTTCCTTTAATATTTGCATCTTCATTGACAAAATTGCTGAGTTTTTTGAGAATTGGTTTGACTTTGAAACAAAAGGATGATAGTTTTCAAAACCATGTCTGTCCAAGATTTGTGTCAACTCAGTAATATTAACACTGAATTCAAAGGGATATTGCATGATTTGAGAAGCAATTCTAAATTTATCAATATAAATGAAGCATTCTTCAAATTTTTCTTATAGTCTTTGCAACTCATCTACATAATGCTATCCATAAAATCTTCTGCATATTTGATTCGTGTTAGAAAAATGTATAAAATCATTATTGACTTGAATTATACAAAAATTTCAGTTTTAACATAAATCCTTATACCTGTCTAGCTGAATCACAGATGAGCTTTTCCTTTTCTTGAAGTTTCCTATGCAATGTGATATCTGTGAGAAAACACAGAAATCACATTGCCATCTTTTCCTTTGATTACTGAATATTTGCCAAGTATTCCTTTTGTTTCAAGAAAATCTTGAATTGGAGTTAACAGCACAGTAAAACTCTGTAAAACTCTCTGTGGCTAGACCAACAAGCACTGTTGATGAACACAAGATTAAATGCATTGTCTTTTATATTTTTATTAAAGCAGTTAAATATAAAATACTGGTGATGAGTCACAGCATCTGCATGTATATGTTGAGCAATTTTAACAACAGTATCCGTGACTGCTTTCACGGAGTCTGTTTCAGAGAACTGAGTCTAAATATTTTCAGAATGTATCATACAGTGATATGAAGTCACCCGAAAAACATCAGTCTCTTTCTTTCTTCTTGCTTTAAAGGATAGTTTTAACATTGGTCTCTTGTTTTAAATTTCCAGTTAATCTGGAATTTTGACCTAACATGGCTAGAGATTTTTTTTTTACCACATCTAACTGAAGTTCTTTGAGAGATGTAAAAGATTTAAACATAGTTATGTGTAAGTTTTTGAGGCTATCAGTTGGCATTTCTTTGTAAACAGGAGTCTTTTGAGTCAAAACAAACTCAAAGCATTAATTAGGCAGTGTTATATATCAAATGAGTCATCTAAAGCTAAAGAAAAGTACTTGTAATTTTTCATGGCCCAGTCCTAGCACTCTGGGAGGCAAGGCGGGAAGATCGCTCAAGGTCAGGAGTTTGAAACCAGCCTGAGCAAGACTGAGACCCTGTCTCTACTCTGAATAGAAACAAATTAATTGGTCAAATAAAAATAAATATAGAAAAAATTAGCCGGGCATGGTAGCACATGCCTGGAGTCCCAGCTACTCGGGAGGCTGAGGCAGGAGGATCGCTTGAGCCCAGGAGTTTGAGGTTGCTGTGAGCTAGGCTGACGCCACAGCACTCTAGCCCGGGCAACAGAGTGAGACTCTGTCTCAAAAAAAAAAAAAACAAAAAAAAGAAAAGTACTTGTAATTTTTCAAATTTTTAATTGGTCTTGATATTTATCTTGTATTCTGTAGACAATTATTTTATGGTTTAATTGAGGATTTTTCATTTTTTGTAAAATATCTTCTTTAGTCTTTTCCTTATAATTTTTAAACAAAATTTTTATAACTGAAATTATTTCTTTTACTATCGCCATCTAAAACTGGTTTTCTTTTTTATGCAAGAATGAATCCAAGCCAGTATAAAGTTGGCCAAAGTTCCAAGCTCAGAGCCTGTTATCATTTTTTAAACAGTTTTTATTGAACTTTCAATTTTGACTTCTGGCAACTAACTTTATTGATTCTTTCTTGACTTTTGTTATTTAATTCATTCTGTATTTGCTGACAATGTCTCCTAATATTGTCCAAATAAATAAATATTGTCCACTTTGTAATCTTTAAACAATTTTTACACAACAAAGAGCTTTTTGTTTTGTTTTGCTTAAGCAAATTGCATAAAATTTGCAACGTACCTTTTTCTACTTTCTGTTTTATTCCTGTTCTGGTATAGTAGTCGCAGTACTAGTAGTAGTATCTATCTTTTCACCCAATTCTGCCTTCATTTTGCTTTTACAAATTAGTCCATATTGTGAACTAAAATAAAATCTTAAGGTTCCCCCCCCACCACCAGCTGACTGAATGGACCCCCTCTTGGCCAATGGGATATCCTAAAACTGATTTGCTGGCCATGGTATGGGAGGTCAGGTAGAACTCAGCATGCCTTCCCCTTTCTCTGAGACATCCTTTGTAACTCATTAACACCTCAATTTACATAACAAATCACTGAGACTAGGTATGTATCCGGTGGCTTGTCTCTGATTAACAGACTTGCTTATCTTTTTTTTTTCACCCCCCCCCACCATCCAGACTTCCTTATCTTAACTTAAAACATTCTAAGCCTTTAGACAAAGCTGCATTTCTTTAACCAATTACAAGTCAAACACTCTTTTTTTTTTTTTTTTTTTTTTAGAGTGCCATGGCGTCAGTCACCCTAGCTCACAGCAACCTCAAACTCCTGGGCTCAAGCGATCCTCCTGCCTCAGCCTCCCGAGTAGCTGGGACTCCAGGCATGCGCCACCATGCCCGGCTAATTTTTTCTATATATAGTTTTAGTTGGCCGATTAATTTCTTTCTATTCTTAGTAGAGACGGGGTCTTGTTCTTGCTCAGGCTGGTCTCGAATTTTTTTTTTTTTTTTTGAGACAGAGTCTCACTCTGTTGGTTGGGCTAGAGTGCCATGGC